CATTTTGGCCACATACAATGATGAGGCCATAGGCTGCCCTACAGCTGCCCCTCCCTCCACCTTAAGATATCCTTCCAAGGCTCTTTTCCTAGCTCAGGTAGGAGACATAAGGAAGGTTCACAAATCTGCTTCCTAAATTAGATCCCTGTCTCACCCCCGTTATCTACCAGGGATTCTCTTGGAACCTCTCACACTTGGCTTTGGTGAGTGTGGAGAGGCATTTTCTTCCTCAGTGACTCTTCTAGACCCCAAACTCAAGACTGCAAAGACTCTCTCCCTCTTTCCAGCCAGGCTCAGGAGGAAGAGCGAAGAAGATGGGCGCGGCAAAGGGTGTGGATGGTTTTGGTGATGGGTAAGGGAGCAGAGTCCTTTGGCTGTCTCTTACAAGCCCCACGAAAGGTGTCTCTCTTGAGAATGTGAGGTACTTATCACCTTATTCTTTCAGCTTGGACCAGTTCTCCAATGCCAGGAAATCAGGAAAACTTTCACGTCCTATTACAGATGTAAAAGTCAACAGGGCAGACAGTTATGGTGGAATGGAAGGTTCAAGTTGAACAGAGAGAAATGTCATTTGCTGGTGGAAGAACTACTACATATTGGCTAGATTTCTTTAACTGATGAAGCAGCTTCCAGCGAAATAGGAAGATTTTAATGTGGTCTAAAATTTAATTTTCTTAGTGACGAGGGTGCAAATTTCAAGCTAAAAATTCTCTCCGAGACTTTTTGAGTACACTTCTATTTTTATTTCTGAGAATTTTTTCTCTGTCTTGGAAAATAAGGTATATTTCCAGTAGAAATTTGAGGGACTACAGAAAAGTTTCAACAAGAAAAGAAAAAACAATCTGAAATTGCATGGCTGAGGCAAGTTTGGTGGGAGATAGAATTCTGATTTGGGGCAATTTAGGTTTACATCATAAAAGAAAGATCATACTTCGTCTCGATTTTACTTTTATTTTCTGGGTTGGAAAGTTGTACGATGGACGCAGTTGGGGTAATGAGATCTGAATATGGAATTTATCAAAAACCATTAGGGCCTTGAGACAACAGAAATCCCTATTTTGCTTTAAATAAGCTTACTGAAGTAAGAAGAAATATTTATCCATAAGAAGAAAGTCCCAGGACCCAATTTCTCCCCTCCTTCACTAATGCCTCCTTGCTCCTGACTGCACCTTGCACATAATAGTTAGCATGTATTATGCATGACCCCTGAGATTGAACGTGGGCCCTGACTGAATGAGAAACCACTGTGGAGGCAGGAATGGCCAGGGGCTAGAAGACTCCTCAGGACAGAGGAGACCAACTGTCAAACCCTTGAGGATGTAAATTTCCTAGGATCTGGAGTAGTTTCCTCTTTCTGTATCCTGCAGATCGAAAAGCAGAACAGTAGGCAGCAACAGTACTGCAGGGAGATAAGGATCTGAGGAGCTGGGGGGGCCACAGCCAAGGAACAGACTGGCCACCAGGAGCCCTTCACCAGGTGGAGTGAAAATGTATTCTCCTGCGTAATGACCAACTAGAGGGTTACAGCAGTCAGCAGCCCATGATCTGAAAGCTCCCTGTTTTACCCAGCCCCCCTTTAAGATTTCCTGATGGTCCTTTAAACTTAAAAAACAAACAAACGAATAAAAGTGCTATTTTCATATCCTTTAGGGTTGTTTTGGATTTTTCAAGTGAATAGTGTACACGTTAGGGAGAATGAGTAACAGGAAGGTAAAGAACTTAAGGGCATCGTAACTCAAATTCTCAAACTCTTGATGAGAAAGCATTATGTGTTCTTGCTACTATTTGTTGAAGAGCTTCTCAGAACTGATAATAGCAAATGTAGAAACTTGTGGCTGCGTGCCGGAATTGTTTTGTGGGCCCCACATACAGTCCTCAAGACTGCCCCATGAGGCACGTTCATGCTAGCCCTGTCCCTCTTCTATATTTGAACAAGCTAGAGCCCAGGAAGTTTCAGTGGAGGAGTCAGAACTCAGTCCTAGGAAGTGGGCTTAGCTACTAGACGCTACTGCTTCAGATGTATGGCTTCAAAACAAAACCAAAACCAAACACTTGATGTGAGTTACTCTTCACACGGTAGGAGGCAATGGAGAGTGTGGTTAATTGCTCAGACTCTACAGCCACACACCCGGGCTTGCACTATAGTTCTGGCAACAGCCCAGTGGCCTTTCCTTGGGCAAGTCATATAATCTCTCTAAGCTTTAATTTCCTTATCTGTGAAATGGGCAAGATAATGCCTATCTCAAAGGGTTGTTTAGGGAACTAGATAATATTTGAAAAGCACTTGGCATAGTGATCAAAAGCATGGTATTCATTATGATTTCTGATTCTTACTGTTGCATTAGAAACCAAGGGGACCTCTGTGTTGTATCCTGCATGAGATAATATGGGTCATCCCATTTATTAGGGGAAATCTCACAAATAGGGTGCAGAGATGTGTGGGGGAGTGATGATGGAAGGGAGGTGTGCAGGAAAAGAGTTGAGTCCACCACAAATGGACACGGAGATGTTTGTGTCCCAGACCCCTGGGTAAGTGGAAAGAGAAGTGTGGTGGGGAGGTAGAAGCGGGCATGAAAGGAGTCTAGGATGACTTCAGACGCTAAGCTTGGGGAGGACTGAGATAGGGGTTGGGAGGGGGAGCCACTGAGGGTAGAAGCTCAATGGACTTGAGTCTATGAGGGAAAGGTCCAGTATCCCTCACTTTCTCAACTCTCCCTATCCAAATCTAAGAAGAGAATAGATTCAGATAGGGTGGGCGACTTGTGAGAATAGAGACACTAGAGTCAGAGCAAAGCAGACAGACAGCCTGGCCAGCCTCGGAGGTATAGATTCAGCTCAATCATCCCGAGGACTGTAAGGGAGATCCTATTTATTTTATAATTAGCACATGATAAGAGGAATGCTTTCTTCCCTTTTGGCATGATGTTCTGGAATGTCCAGTTACAACCCTGGTATGCTATCAAAAGATTTCACATCCTGAACTTTCTGCTGTTGTGTCACTGGTACGTCTGGAAGGAAGCGAGAGCCAGTACCTTTTTGATAACAGTTAAAATCCTGGGATTTATATAACGTGACATGAAGTGCGGGGCACTGTTTAGCTCTTGGCATAGCTGTGAATGCCTAGGGCAGAACACCAAAGGAAAAAGTCTACTTTGAAAGCTTTCTCAGAACATATCCGAGAGAATTTGCTGGTTAATGCAAATACATGTCCAAACAAGTCCTGGGGTGCTTAGGGAGGACGCAGAGCTGGCAGGCCTCACTTGGCACGAAGAGCCTGAGTAATGCTTCATTTTAATGAGGAAGCTTGGGGGTCCATAATGAAGACGATGTGGTATTTCCCATGTGTCTTTTTGGAATGTGGACTGATTGTACCCACAGTGGAGAAAAGGCCATCAGAAAGTACAGAGTTCCTGAAACCTCTGGGGCTCTACCAGATTCAGATAATTTAATGGCATATAAATGAATTCACAGAAATACACCCAGAGTAAAAAACTTCCCTTCCCATAGGTAAGCAAATATAAGTGCAAAGTAATGAGACTGTATTTTTTGGGGGGAAGGGGGAAGAGGGTTTGATTTTTAAACTAATGCTATAGGCAGTCCCAGATATGTTGTAAACATTGTAACATTCCTGGAATAATTGTGTAGCTTCCCTACTTGACTCTTCTGAAAGATCAGAGTCATCTGAATATCAAGTTCATATGTATAAAGCACATAAATTCATTTTTAAGATATAACTTCACCTGTGAGCCTTGATGGTTTGTTTGACTCTTTTCTATTAGAGAAAGTCAATATTTAACGTTTTAGGTGGGAAAACAAAATCTCGAAAGTGACCAGGAAAACAAACATTCTCTAGTCCACATGAACGGTCTTTGACTAGTAGATGGAGAAACAGATGGAATGAACGTTATTGCCCGTCTGTCAGGGTCTGTAGCCTGGATGTCCCTTAGAACCAGCTATAGGGTGTGACTTCCTAGAAGCAAATTCCTTTCCTGCTCATGTCTGGGGCATTACGTGCTCCTTCACGCCAAGTATGTGAAATACTGGACTGACCTTTATTTTATATTTCTGGGCTGGCTGGAGCAAAACGCTCCACAGAGACTGGGCCTCCCAAAGCGCTCTGGGATTTTGGAGGGATTAAGTACAGTTCTGGGGTGTTTGGAAGAACGTTATTCAACCCTTCAGGCTTAAAGGAGGGGATGGTGACCCAGAACTCAGGACAAGAGAGTCCCAGGAGGCGGAAAGGCTGGTGGGAGGGACCTCTTCTGTGTGTGCTAATATATCAAAGAGAACTTGGAATTATAAAGAGAAAAAGAAATTCTCCATCTTAAGATAAATAATTTTGAGATGTTAAGAACTGAAATTAATATGAAGTAAACTCATCAGACAAAAACTCTTTTATCAGATAAGTTTGGCACCTCATACTTGGGATTTATTCCTGTCCAATAGACCAAGGGGAGATTTTTCGTGATTCATTTACCACGATTTTTAAAAACAAAACCGTTAAATATATGCTATCTGTGATAGCTAATTCTGGGATAGGTTGTAAACTGACTCAGGAAAATGTACATTTTCACCTGTTTCTTATGAAGTTTAAAGTCACTTCTCCAAGAGGTCATTTCTTCTGTCCTCATTTGCATTTGCTGCAATTCCCCCACTCCCCAACAAAAGCAACAACAACAAAAAATCCCAAGCAAAAAAGCCCTTAAGCAATAAAACTGGTGTCCAAGAAAAACATTTAGTTTAAAAAAGAGTTGAAAAATGTAGCCTTGGAAGAACCACTGCTTACATGGGATTGTTCAACAAATTCCTGTTGTGTGAGGTTTGGCATATACTTTCTAAAAATATAAGCATCTGGGGAAATGAGACAAAGCCCAGGTCTTGGACCAAACGAGGCACACAGTGTGAATCTGTTAGTGATTATATCCATAATGAAATATGTGCCCAAATTTAGCAGTGCAAAATCTAATACAATATGAACACCCAGCAGGCACCGTCCTTACCATAATATATAGCCAACAGAGAAGGTACATATGGCGGCGAGTCCACTGCTCCTGCTGGGATATGCATGGTGTGATGTTCTCATCTCGATTAATATAAAGGGCAAAACCGTTGTGTGCTGAAAAAGAACAGAGACCAGGTGACACAGATTCTCATCACTGCCCCTTGATAGTTGTTTTTTCTCCTGTAGGAGAACAGATAGTGTAAATTCTTAGCAAAAGCACCATTCCAGAAAGCAGTAGATGGCTAACCAGAGGTAGAATGGACATGAAGACATGCAGTGCATCAATTGCTCCATTGGTAATTTTTTCTCTATCTTAATTTTTGAAATTTTATTTTATTTATGCCTGTTACAGGAAATTTCGATAATATAGAAAAATATATAGGAAAGAAATCGGAATATGAGAAAGGAATAAAAATAATCCCTATTAACATTTTGGTACATGTCCTTCCCCTCCCCTTGTTCATATTATTTATATATAGTTAAGATCACACTGTGCATGCAATTTTGTTTTGTAGCGTGTGAATTTTTGATATGCCATTTTAAAAATCCTTCTAGAATATCAACCCTGATCATCGCTGCTTAAAAGTCCATTTTATGGATGTACCAAAATTTATTTAACCAATTCTTGTCCTCAGACCTTAAAGTAGTAGAAGATTTTCAATTTTTCATTTATTAAAAACATCATGATGAATATCTTTTGTAGAAGTCTTTGAATGTTACATTATTTTCTTATAGTCAAAGGTTATGAAGATTTTAAGGCTATTGATCATAATGCCAAATTATGTGTGTACCAGCAGCAGGTTAGGATATAATGCCAAATTAGCTTCCAGAAAGGCTTTGCCAGTTGTATTAGCAGTGCATAGATTTAGAAATGATGTTTGAAGGTGGACACCAAAGAAACTGGGTGGCACATTCTCATTTGCTTTTTGGACCCTGTGGCCACTCTAGGTACTCAGTTCAGTGGACCAGGATGGGGATGAAATTTATCCCATCCATATTGTAAGAAGAAAGAAAAGTCAAGTACTCTCAGTATTGAAATTTGGTGGACAGATATAAAGGACAAAGAGCTTCTTAAGCAGGTCAGGATTTAGATTTACCTTCCAACATTGGAGAGTTTTCCAAGAGTAAGAAGATGGCGGAACTGAAGCCTGAACTATCTGCAAGTTTGAATTCTGCTTAGTATCTCCTTAATGGCCATGAGAGAATCTTTGTTCTGTGCTTGCTGCATTGTTTGCATATTCAAGGAAAGGGCAGGAAATTGAATGCTATGAATTTTAAACTCTAATAAATATTATAGTAAAATGGAACCAGGTAGCAGGTAGGCTTTGGCAGGAAAAGACATGTTGGGTGAACATCTTTGGAGCAAATTATTGTTTATAGTCATAGAAAAAATAGAAAGACATGATTTGGTAAGAAATATTAAGACAACAGAAATTCTTTTCCTTAAATGTTCTCTTCTAGATAACTGTTCTTGACTGCCAATACATTAGTAATTAGAGTATGGTGTTCCCAGAATGTCAGGTGAGTGATTCCACAATTGGGTAGCTTTATATTTCCTTATCCTTTGCTTTTCTATTATTGTTTTAAAACAGTATAATTAGTCAAGGGAACCACGCAGAATGTACATGTGTGCTAATACAGAGGCAGTATGTACTTTAAAGATCTAGTCTATTGGTTTTTCACTACCATCTAGTCACCTCAGATGACACTTGCCTGGAATTTGATCAGTAAATTGAGATGTCAACAATAGTTTTACAATGGTGCATTTATATAAAATTCAAATACATAGCTAGCAATAAGGCTATGTCTTATCAAATCTTACATAGAACAATCCCTGCAAATCGAACATTGACCCTGGAGATAATGCTGGCTCTGATGGCCTGTGTGGGTTTTAGAATGACAATGATATTATTTTTGACTCAATACTAAAAAATGTCTAAAGTCTACCTCTTAATTCACTGCTCCAAACTAAGTAGAAAATCATTCATTTTTCTTTAAAGTTATATAAGGTCAAATAACTAACGTGAATATTCTTAGTTATCAAGTTATCGTTATTTTATCTAGCCTATGTGCTGATTATCAGATGTCATACCTGGAAAAATTACGACGTACTTTGATGATGCCAGGCAGAAAATCTCTTTGAAAAATGAGGATCTTTCTAGATCACTTCCTCATTGGCATCACCACCACTAAAGAGGAGCTACATGTTCCGTCAGTGACATCACCACTGATAAAAGATCTTTTTGTGGTTAGCCGTGCCTGTGCAAGTTCGGCTAGTGGCAAATCTCAGAAGAAGGTTTTTCTATATCAAGGTGACAGCTTAACGCTCAGAATTTTCAAGCATTAATGAATGTATATCTCTCTCTCTAAACACTTATAATGTAAACCATTTTGCCAATAAACAGTATATATTAAAAAAAGTACATATAGTGCAAAATATTTATTGCAAATATAAATGTAGCCTTACAGGTAACTACAGTTTTATGAACTAAAACATGGTAAAATCTATGAATGATCCTGCTGAAGCTCTCAGTGACTTTTAGCAGCTCAGTTGTAACTCAAAATCTGTAGCAGCAAGAGGGAAAATTATTTCAGAACCATGGGTACAAGAAATCCAGTTCTAATCCACTCCCAGGCAACACTCTGCTTCAATGACTTAAGGACCAGGAAGGAAATACTCAACTCCAAGTAAGACCACCAGCTGTATAAGAATGGTAACCTTACATTTTGTTCACTATATCTGTAGCGCTTAGAAAAGTATCTGGTACATAGGAGGTGTTCAATAAATATTTGTTAACTTAATCTTCAAAACAACATCTTTTTTTTTTTTTTTTTTTTTTTGTGAGGAGATCAGCCCTGTGCTAACATCTGCCAATCCTCCTCTTTTTTTTTTGCTGAGGAAGACTGGCCCTGGGCTAACATCCATGCCCATCTTCCTCCACTTTATATGTGACGCCACCACAGCATGGCTTGCCAAGCAGTGCGTTGGTGAGCGCCCGGGATCCGAACTGGCAAACCCCGGGCCGCCGCAGTGGAGTGCATGCACTTAACTGCTTGTGCCACCAGGCCAGCCCCCAAAACAACATCTTAAGTGGGAATTATTAACTCCATTCTGCAGATTAACAAAGACTCAGAAAATTTAATTTTCTTGCCCAAGTCTGGAGGTAGGGTTCAAGACCAGTTCTGCCTGCCTCGAGATCTCATGCTTTGTTTTCTACATTAGAAATATATCTTCAAAAGATATCAGAGTTAAATCATCTTTGAACCAATAAACTTGTGGGAATGCATGATTGAAGATCACTTATGCTATCTCTCAACAGACCAGAACTATTTTTTGGTTGAGCCTCAAAATAAACAAAAAGCTCTTCATTGTGAAAAATATATTTTGCTAAATGAGTTCTTTCCTGTGGCATATAGCATTCTGAATAATAATAAACAATAAAATCAGCTGGCATAGTCAGAACCATTCAGCGGTGCAATGATAGATAAAGACGGCTGGAGGCAGCTCTTTCGGCTTGGAGGACGCCAAGGGGCAACTTTCTTGGTCGTCCCTCATCTGGGTTCATCTGGCACCAGCCACCTCGGCCATCTCACCTAAGTTCAACCCCAACGAGATCAGTCATGTACCTGAAATGCACCGGTGCAGAAGCCAGTGCCATGTCTGCCCTGGCCCCCAAGATTGGACCCCTGGGTCTGTCTCCAAAAAAGATTGGTGATGATATCCCAAGGCAACAGGTGACTGGAAGAGTCTGAGGATTACAGTGAACCTGACCATTCAGAACAGACAGGTCCAGACTGAGTGGTCTTCTGCCTGTGCCCTACCATGAAAGCCCTTAAGGAAGCCATTCAGAGACAGAGAGAAGAAAAAACCATGAAGCACAGTGGAAATAGCATGTTTGATGAGATTGTCAACATTGCCTGACAGATGCAGCACCAATCTTTGTAGCCAGAGAGCTCTCTGGAACTGTTAAAGAGAACCTGGGGACTGCCCGGTCTGTGGGTTGCGACGTTGATGGCCGGCACCCTCATGACATCATAGGTGACATCAACAGTGGTGCAGTAGAATGCCCTACTTAAAAAGTACAAAGGAAAATATTTCAACAAAAGATCATTTGACAATAAAAAAAAAAAGAAGAAAAGCAGACTCAGGAATGATCTGTTCTATTCCTCAAACACAAAGACCTTTTAACTTACACTTTTCTCAGACAAGTGTAGATACACTTTGAATAAACAAAGAAGGAGATAAAGTCTGCTGGCCAGAGGGGGCTCTTAAGAACTGTATTAGACTGTTTTCTGCAGTACATTGTCAATAGAACAGTTGCCCAGCAGCTGAGTTACTGAGGTTGGACTAGTTCTTTAAGTGATAAGTAAAATGAGAGTTTGACAATCCATGGAGGAAACCCTTGGTCCACCCTGTAAACTCTAGCCTAGGAAGTACTGATCTAAGATGTAAGTTGTTATCCTATCCTAAGCTTAGTCTTCCATTGCTGCTAATTTTAATGAGATTGTATTTGGAAGATTGTGTCCAAAAAGAGAAGCCCAAATCCATCTTGGGCTTTTGCATCCTTTGTGTTTTTCTTAATGGGGTTTGGGGGGGGTTCCTTCTGTGGAGCACTGATTACTGCCATGAACGGACCAGCATCTCACAGCAAAGGTCCACCTGTGGAGGGGAGCCACCAGGTGGTGTTGCCTCTGCACGGAGATGCTCACATGTGAGCAGAGGGCTGGGTTTGAGGAAGGACCCATGACTTAATTATGATGTGAAGGAGATGGGATAAGACAAAGGCTTTTGGAGAAGAGGCTCCAAGGAAGAAAGCAGTGTAGTTAAGTGGAAAGAAGAGGAAACTGGCATGGGGATCTCGTTCTGATTGTGTCCACCTCGCTATAAGACTTTAGGCAGGTCCTTGCACCCTGGTGAAGTCAGCATTATTCTCTGTACAATGAGGGGGTTGGGTTAAATCAGCGCATCTCAAACTTCAGTCATGAAGAACGAATGTTTTGAGTTCTGCTATATCACATACCAGCCAGCCCTGGTGGTCTAGTGGTTAAGATTCAGCACTCTCACTGCTGTGCCCCAGGTTCGTGGCCCAGTCAAGGAACTACACCACCCCTCT